AACGCAAACTGCTCACATCCTCCCCCAAAATCCCTTCACCTCTTTAAGGCTTGGTCCCAAGTACAGTAAATGGCTCAGCCTCTTGAATGCCTCCCCCTCCCCACCCCAGCGACATGAGCGCCCTCTGGACAAAGAAAGACGGGATCAGAAAGCCGAAACAGCCTATTCTATTCACGACTGCCTGGGATTGGCACTTCCACCAGAAATTACAACACCACAGAATGCGGTGAAAGAGGATGATGGAATCCGTGGTCGATGTACCACATTTATATTTCAACGAAACAGTTCGGTCGGAAGTGGTGTGAAGGGTTTCCGAAGAGCAACGTCACCCTGTGTCGAGAGGTAGTTCCGGTGCTGAGGCGGAAAAAAACCAATCCTACTGTAGCAAAACTGATAACATTAACTGAAGAGCACATCAATCAAGATAGTGAGTCCGTTTTTTGAGGGATTCTGGTGATGAACAAGCCACTAGAAAATTAAGATAAGAGCAATAAATAAGGTTCGGAGAGGCGATTCAAAGAGCACTCGACAATCTGTTCCAGCCCACTGAATTTTGCTTCTTCTTCTTTTGTCATTGGAACCTAAGAAACTGCTGTTCCATGTTACATTTTGCCTGTCTGTGTCTTGACCTTGATTTTTTGCTGAACAACGACCTGGTCCAATCATTGCAGGAAGATCGGGCTCTAGACTTACTGAGCCTTACTCTTCTCCTGCGCTTATATTTTACCCCCGTTGCATTTTTACCTAGAAGTCGTGCGCATCCACCAGCCTGGCTTTATCGAATGTGTTCGAGAAGGGTCCTCTTCACCCCTAGAGGGGATGTTCTAACCCAAGGAGCTTCAAAGACGTCGTTTACAATGGAAAGGCGGCCCACAAGAGTCAAGGTAGATGTGGTCATTGATGCATGGAAGAAGGGAAAACAAAGAGAAACACCCTAAAACCCGTAAAATGGGACCCCACCCGTTATCCCTTGGAGTGCGCGTTGAGCGTCTCTTCGGTGCTGACTTCATCAAGCTAACGCTCTCATTGCTAAACAGCCAGAGTCAGACGGCGAGGAGGTGGGCGGGCATCGGCGATGGCGGCGCGAGGGCGGCCATGCCCGAACGTAGGGACATATTCTGCGCTGCGAGTGTCGGTCCACATCCTGTCTTTCCACTAGGTAAGTTTTTCTTTCACCTCCGCCTTATCGTAGAATTGTCCTCTAGAGCAACACCCCCAGATCGAACTTGTGGGGTCACAGCGTTTGATAATGAAGATGTCACGAATAAAAGAATAGGAACTATGCCACTGTTACTGCCCTAAAATCTAAAAATTTTATTTTCCGTCAAAACTTTGCCTATTGAGGTGATCCGATGCCCTGATTACAGACATGATATTCGTTTGTTGACGGCTGTCGCGTTTGGCGCACTTAGCCACTTCTTCACGACCGTGTCCCCAGTTTCGGTGTTTAACCATGTATTAGGTCGTAAGGAAAGTTCTGGCCGTTTTCGATAATTCAAGCTCCATGGCATTATTTCTGGCTAGGGTTTCGACGGACTGCTACGTGTTACATATCGTTAGGAAGCACGTTTCTTGCTCTATCTAATCGCACTGCAAGCTTTGCTTTAGAGGGACTACTCCCACTTATTCGAAACATTAAATGCAACATGCTCAGTTTCACCTTTGCGGAATTTTGTTGACCGATACAACTGACGAAGTTCATGGGTTATTGAGAAGACTCCATTCTACAAGGGGAGTCACGATCCGGACAAAAAACGGGTCGTTTTCGTTGGAGGAAAGATTGCAGAAGAAAGGCAGATGGTCCCACGGAACCGCGATTTTTCGCAACACCCTCCTTATCGACGTTCCCGTGCTTCTTAAGCTATCCCATGTAACTTGAAACCATAAATTGAATGCGCCCAATTTGGTAGCGGTCTTCTTAATTGTTTGAAGCACATTTGATCCCATCAAAAGTTTCACGTAATTTTTACCGAAGTTCGAAATCCAGCGATCACTATCGCCAATTTCGAGGCTATCGCCATCCCTATACAAGCTCTCCAAACTATAACTTCATGGCTTATTTTTTGCAAATGCATGGCCAAACGAATAATTTATATCATAAGCTGATTCCGCTTCTTTCTGCCCTAATTCGAGGTAGAAGAAGAAAATCGTGAGGATTGGCTTGGTGAGCATGCTGCATTCAAGGCTTTCAAAAAGTTGGGACCAGTCCCTATTGAGCAAAGCTTACCGCGGATTTGGATAGAGCAAGAAACGCACGTTCTAATGATATGCAACTCGCAGCAGTCTGCCGGAAAGTTTGCTAGAAATAATGTCATGAAACTTGTACTGTCGAAAACGGCCAGAACTTTCCTTACAACCTAATATATGGGTTACTTGTGTCCTAGTTACGAGTATGACATAAATTTTTGGCGCTGGCGCCGTTTTGTGCCTGTTTTCTGTTCAGCTTCGCCTTTTATAGAACCTAGGGCTGAGCTTATTGGGGAGAGGGGTTGGTAAATTACATATCGAGCGCAGAAGTGAAGTGTTGGCCGAGATCGGCAGGAGGTGACGTGGCTCACTCACTTAAAGCTACCTACTCTGGCAAAAGGCGCTTCTTCTTGATAGTGTTATACAAGTGATAATGGGCAACACGCGAAGCGGTAGATTAGGCACAACAACGACGCCAGCGCCAGACATCAATGTCATATTCGTAATTAGGATACACCCTACATACAAGTTTACACCGAAATTGGGAAAACAACGGTCGTGACAAGGTGGCGCCAACTGGCGCCAAATGGCGCCAGCATCAAAAATGAATGTCATTTCGTAATCAGGGCATCGAATTACCCTCTATAAGCGAAGTTTCACGAAAAAGTAAAATTTTATGATTTTGGAGACAGTAATAGCGGAATAGACCAAATAATAGTATTATGAAGAGGACGCCAAATTCAGCAAAATTGAAAAAGGAAGCAAAGAAAACCGTCGATGAAGCTCAAAACGAAAAGTCCCCTGAAAAAGGAAGGGGTGGGCCGGACGAGTTGTACGAACTTGCCTGCTCCACGGCTCAACTAACCCGCGCGTATTTGAATTAGCCGCTACGCCGTAATCCACGTTGCGTGTCATGGGGTGTGCGCTACGTAACTCGTCCAAATGCTAAGATTAGTCGCCAAATGCTGACTTTGTAAGACCCTAGCGCCATTGTCGCGTTCTTGGAGCTGCGACAACGGCACATCTGTGCTACTCGTGGGCTACTCTATCAAACCCACTTAGATTCTTCGACACCACATCTGCTGGGAGTGTTGCTTTAAAGGATAGAAACGTGAAGGATCAACTAAGCAACCTCAGAAAGGATGATGGAGGCCGGGCAGTTGAGCAAATGGAGGATGTGCAAGACTGACAAAGTGAATACGGTGCGTTGTGGGCGTAGACGAATAAGAGTCCGACTTGATACAGTACCTTCAGCAGTACCTGCCGCGCTCGCGACGCCTCAACTGACTTTGCTATATGCTTTGTTTATCATGAGCATTTTTTTCCACAGAGGGAATGATCAATACAAACTTTGTTAGACTTTCTTCATATCTTTTGCTTCAATTATTACAGAGCCAAAATTCAGTTGTGTTTCCCATCATTTTCCATAAAAAAGAGGCACCGATGTAATCAATTGCCCTTTACAGCTCTCATAACTCGTTAGATTAGCGATTTAGAAGAAGCACAGAGTTTTGAAATATTTCTGTTTTGTTCTTATAATCTGAAATTAGAGCTGACAAAGAAAAACAAGCAAAATATTTCATACCTAAAATCGGCATCTTCACGGGTTCAAGCGGGACAGATGGCAGTTCTCCTGTACCGGCTTCAGTCACGGCACGTACCGTGAAGTTGTATCTAAATTTTTTGAAAATCAGCGCTTGAAAAACCATCGATGGTTGACGTTCTGTGACAACGCCCTCACCGTTCTCCGCCCAGTAGCCCGTCAATGATGGTCTCCACAAAATGGTCGGCTCGATCTGTACTGACTCCTACATTCAATGAACGTGAATCGCTGAGGTTATCCTGCAATGAGGACCGGTGAATGTCAAAGTTTTGCAAAGAAGTTGCCCTGCAGAGATTTTCTACAGAAGAGCTGACGTTGGTATAGATTACTCACTCGTGATGACTGAAATTAGAGCTAGCTGCTAATAGATGTAGCAGCAAAAGAAAAGAAAGAAAAGCGGCCCAAAACCCGCAAAACAGGCTTGTTTTACTTGCCCATTTTCCCTTTGGACGGGTCTTTATTACTGGCGTCATTAATGTGGCCGTCCCGTTCTGCATTTCTCCTAAAACTACCAGAGCTCGGCGGCTAGTTATCAGCAGCTGGGGTTACGGTTACTGTAATTACTTAGGATTTGCTTGATGTTCTCTGTTCGAAAGAAGTGCCGAAGCGCAGACAGTGTAAGAGAAGAAATCCTTTCGCAGCTTGTAACGGTGCCAGACCGGAGATGTACGTCGGCAATTCCAATACGCGTGTGAGTCACTTTTCGTGTGGCAAAAGTTAGAGCCTGAAGGTCATCATGGTCGTGAAGCGCTATAAGAGCGCAGATGAGAGTAGCGCATTAACGTTCTTAGAAGAACGCAGCACAGCATTCGATCCTCTTGAAAATTTCCCCTCCCCACCATCCCCCCCTCCCTCCATCCCTGAGTGAGGGAGAGGGATAGCGCCGGCACGGCTCTTGCACGCTGTCGGCGCTGCCAATCTACCAATCGCCGCATACGTGGCGTCTGCACACTCTCCCAGACAACGTACTCTCTCACATTTTCCCTCTCCTCACAGCGCTGTGTCTCTCCGTCATACCACGGCCACTTGGATTTCAGGGGTTCCCTATGGTGCTCTTTGCCTGTTCTTCCCACTAACGTTCCTTATCGTGTCTAATTTTTGAACAGAATAGCACATCAATTCCGACCCGACGGCGCTTTTTAGTTGAACGACCTAGCTTAACATTGTGTGGTGTGGTAAGATAATAACGTAAGGGGAATTGAAAGTAGCGGGTGGGTTGGCTTCACTTTTGATACCTTGTATAAAGCAGTGGAGTCGATTCAATGAAAATCGTGGCTAGAATTTTTGCAAACAGCGCTGTGGAATGCGATAATCCAATTCTTTAGTTAGCGCTAGGGGAAAGGCCAATGTTCTTGTGCAGAAAGAAGCTACTCCCAGTAGTAGGTTATGAGAAGCATAATCAGTGAAGATGCTCGTAATTATATCAAAAGCTTTGAGTGAAATAAAAGGAAAAAATCGCTCCACTTCTTTTTGAAGCAAACGGAAACATGATTTCATTCTGAATTTTGCTGATGGAAAGAAATTAGGTTGTCAGTCAAATTGCCGCAGGATATCTTAATATTGTGCTGTCCCGGAGCCTCATCAGCACCTAAATGGCAGTGGCAAACACATGTGGGTATCAATATGGGCATAGTAGTTCACCAAATTATTTACATCTACTATAATCAATGTATTTCAGGCCTGAAGAAGGTGTTAAACACCGAAATATCGCGGAGGATTTCAAAAGGATTCTTTTTCAAATAGCTTTTTGCTCTTTTGAAACTTTCGAGTTTTTGGAATTTTCGAACTTTCTGAACTTTTGGAATTCTTTTGAAATAAAATTTTGGTGCCTCTCTGTGTTATACAATATTTAGGTGCCGCAGGATAATTTACCTCCGATTTGACGTCCACAACATAATGCGTCAATATCCCATTGGGTAATGCTGGTGGAAGCCACATGAGCTGAGCCGAGTACGGATTCAACGGACGAGCTACAATCAGAATAAAGCGATAAAGTCGCAAGGAACAATGAGAACAATAAAAAAGAAGTGCAGGAGCAAACGAGTAAAACACACCTGAAAGAGATAGAACCGGTCCTGGCCTGTCCTGCATGGTGGAGAATGTCAACTGCCGAATGGTGCGTGACGACGGGATGCAGTCGGAGGGTCCCGACGAACAGGTGATCTAAACAGCGTCAGTGTTTCAGGGCTTCAGGAATCAATTAATGGAATAATTCGATTGGAGGGACGTTCCCTTTATTGACCTAGCGAATGCGGACATCGATACCAATGGAAACTGATGAATGATGCTTGCTAACCAACTCGGTTTTCCCACTTAGTCGAGGAAATAAGAATTAAAAGAAACAACTAGGCTCCCGATGAACGAATTGCTGAACCCTTTGCTCTCATTTCATAAGTGCCAACTTCACATTTGGGACTTCAGCTGCTTTTACCTTATCCCTTCTATGGTGGTATATGTTAACAGAATCGTCAGGAGCGCCTAGCTACTGGTCGTGGTCGCGACTTCGCGACTGCATAGGACGGGTTTCTGCGAGTGTATTTTGAGTTGCATGCTAAAGGACACAAACAAGCGAGTCATCATCGCTTTCGGTCAATGCGCGGGTAGCTCTAGTTCTCTCGGGTCCATCTTTCCGCTTTTTTTCAATATTACGATAATAAACTTTGGATACAAACTTGTTCGCACCAGGAGGAGTAAAGGAAGTCGTTCCAGATTTGCATCGATATCCGCGTTCTACATTGATTATCGTGGGGCTCAAATTGCCAGAACCAAAAATTGCCGCGCCCATCGGAGAGGTGCCGCGTTGCAACATCGCGTTAGTGACGCGCTAGCGGCGACGTTAACTCTCGGACGATTCTGTTGAATGCATCCCTCTATTGGTGCCGGTTTCTAAACCTTGAACGCGATGAGTTCCATGGGTTTCTCATTTTGTACATTCTGAATTTGTCAAAGACAGCCATCGAAGGCATAAACTCTACGGAGGCTGCAATCGGCTTGTTTTGAAATTACAATTGCAATTGCTTTACCGCTTTTTGACTTACACACGGAATCAGCCCATCTGGCTATCAGGGTAAGGCCCTCTGACGCGGCACGTGTTTGAAATGCCCACTGGGCCCACCTTGAGTTCTGTCACTGGCATTAGTGTTCGGACGAAACTGATTGTAAAACTCTCTGCCTTTCAGCATTCACTATCCTAGTTATGTTGGCCTACTCCCCCCCCCCTCCTGCCACAGTTTCTTCTTCAAAATTACCTCACAAAACCCTCTGTAACATACTACATGTGCGCCACTTCAGCATTCTCATTCTTCTACCCGTCCCGGTGCTAGCCTCTTTTACATCTTTCCTTCTGGACAACCTTGCCTTCTCAGTGACCAGCGAAGTGTTTTAGGACAGGTTCAATATGTAGCGATATAATGTTTTATACATGAAAGACAGTAAGGTCTCACCTTGGAGTTTACAGTATACTTGTGGAAAGGGCGCAATCCGTTGAGTTCAATAGGCGTAAAAGTTTTTGGACTGAGCTTTCAACGTCTTGTCAAGCACCACGTGGGAATGCATGTCCAGCACGACAGCGTTCAGTACACAATCTGGATCAGCCTCGTCCTGCAGCAATAGACTACCATTGACATCAGGTTTAAGAAAGCTGTGAGTGAACCTACAGGAGAAATGAGAGCGGCATGAAGAACGGCAGAACTTCTCGTGATGGCATGGACGGAGATGTTCACAGGAGGCGCTGACATACGAAAGAAGTCGTTGTACCTCGTTTCTGAGACGATGCCCGACTTGGTCACCGTAAATATTTGCACCTAAACAGTAGAAATTAGTTTGAAGCCCCGGAAATAAGCTAGATTTGAAAAGGTTAGTCCAGCAGTCATGTCAACAGTGGAGCTTACCTTGTAACAGGTGCCCTTTTTCAGAGCTCCCACGACGAGCGGAGCCGCCCCGTGAGGATCACCCTGCAAGCGGGTTCCTTTGTCATGACCGTCAGCAGGAAACAATCGCATTTGAAGCTGAGACTTCGGGCCAACCACCTGCAATGAAGAAGCTTAGCCCAGCATCAACTTTTCTTTTCTCCTTGGACTTACCTTATTCCATATGTCGCGCATTCTCGACATGAAAACGTCACTTTGAGGCCAGGACAGCTTCACACCGTTCTGTGACTCCTGCATATGAAATGCTCACATTAAAATTCTTTACGGGTGCGTTAAAGTCGCAAAATTACCTGAAGGCTGAGCCCGAATCCGGTCATGTCGAACGCTGGAGTCAAGACGACACTTCGGTGTAACTTAGGACTGGTCGCATTCTCGACAAAAGTGGACAACGTGAATTCAAATCGCTCACCAGGAAAAAGTGGCAGAAGGATGGAACAGCTGAAACTCATGAGATTCGAAAAACATTTCCGGAGTTGGCGGGTTGGAATGTGAAGTACTCTATGGGATGGGTTTCACTTATGGGAAGTACTCTATTTATTTCGATGAGAACAGCAGTTCAACATTCATTATCACAATCTCACTGTAACCGCCTTTTTCTTTTCCTTGCTGCAGCTTGACAACAACGGAGAAAGGACAAGAAGCATTCGACCATGCAATCACCTTACGATCCTTTTGCGCTTGCGTCCGTCACGAGATCTGGCTAGATTTCCTACAAAACAGTGACTCGGATAGTTCCGATCGCCCTCAGACGATTGCCATAGTACCTCTGATGATTTTGCCATGAATAGACTACATCGGCTACGGGCTGGGATTTCCAGAACGCCGAACGAATGGAGAATGATCGCTACTACAATGGTCACCCCTCTTTCTGAAAGTTCCCCGGAAGCAGTGAGGTGCTTCTTGTTTTTCGAGAGAAGAGAGTCCTTTTAAAGGCACAGGTCGAGATTAATTGGTGTATCATTTTGTTCCAGTACTGGGCAATATGCGATGAGGCATATTCCTGGGGAGAAAAAGCAAAAGGCGTCATAAAAAAACACTTAAATTTCTTTTGGGTTGTCGACCATGGAGAGACACAGCGCTGCAAGGAGAGTGAAGAGAGGGTACGCCCTA